GCTAACAACCGACCAAAATCAGAACAAATAAACAAAATAAAACTTGGACTGCTTGAGTGGATAAGACTATGAAACGCTCGTTATGAATACTATTCAGATAACCATGCAATGAAAAGCAGAAAGTTAGATTATAATACTTTATTACCTCAACTCCATGATAACAATGGTGACAAAGCTGGGAGGGTGTTGAGTGCTGAAAGCTAAAACATTCTCTTTCCTTTAGCCTCTTCAACAAGGTACACGTGGCTGCTGTTCCCACTAGACTACTGTTACCGTGAAGGCCGCTCACTCTACATCAGAAGGTGCCACAACAGAGAACAACAAACAAAAAGAACAATTTATAATCCCTAAAAATCACAGATTACCTAAACAAGTCGAGTATATTTTTCATCATTCCCAAAAAGGTATTTTTTTACATTTCATACAGTGACAGCTAATGTTAGTGCAGTAATAACACAAGAAATGAACGAGTGAGGCAAATTACGGAGTCTCAGATCTTAAGCTGCTCTCTCACACCGCATCAGTTCTCCATCGTCTCCTTAATCACAGTTTAAATAGGAAGGTTTTAAAAATGACTTTGACATACAACAGACTCCAGTATGTTTTCCACATTGAGCAGCCTTCTGCATCTACTCCACTGATCTGGGTGCAGGGATCAGCCTCTTCTTACACTTCTTGTGATTCCAAGCGGGTACTTGCAGGTGGGAGGGGGCAGTGTAAAATAGAGTACTGAAACATTAGTTGTACGAAACCGGCTCAGCTCGAAGCGTACCAGATGATGATGGCGAGTATGATGATGACGATGGAACAGACCATCGCCAGGATGCACATCTTCTTACGGGACTTTTGCTGCGATAAAGAAAACAGGGAGAGGAGGGTTATAAGGTGGAGCTGCACTGAATGAAACCGCTAACAGCAGCCGGTGTGGACTCACCTGGTAGTAGGCAGCTCTCTGGAGCTGCTCCGTCCCTCGTTCTACATGAACTTCAGCATTCTCCACGTTTGCTTCGATGCTATCTGCAGGTCAGAACATACAAAGATCGTAAACAAAGGAGGAGGAAGAGAGCAGGGAGCCATGCTAGGCTAAAGGCTAACCCCTCCAGACCAGCAGGACCGTCCTCCTGCTCTCCAGTATCTGCTCCCTCCACAACAAGCTGGACGAGCTACATTTGCTGAGAGAAACCCGCAGAGAGTGGAGGGACTGCTGTGTGTCTGCTTTAACAGAAACATGGCTCCATGACAGCATCCCACACGGACATACAGCTAGAGGGGCGGTAGAGAGCCAATTAGAGGCTTCTTAAGGCAGAGAAATCAAATGTTCTTAAAGGGCCTCTACCCATTTTTCAAATGCTGAAGACAAAACTGAAATACCAACGAACAAGCAGCAACCACGGCTGGCGGCAGTAAAGACCAGGCAGAGCATCTCAACACTCAGTATATGAGGGTGTCCATGAGCTCCAGACCTCAGGCAGTCAGAGCCCCAGCAGTAGTGGCCTCGCTGCTACTCACCAATCACCTCTCCTTGGTCGTGGATCATGACTGCCAGGTCCTTGAAGATCTGGTTTACATCCATGATGTCAGACTGAAACAAACACATGATGAACATCTAGTTAACGCAGTCCCAGGATAATACAGGTAATGTGGGCCAGTAGCCACTAGGAGGGCTGACCGTCCTGCACTGTGTCCTGGTCTGTATGAACATCGGTCAAAGTAATCAAAGGCTCACCTCGAGCTGTCTGATATTCGTTTCTCTCTCCTTGATGAGCTCCAGGTCTTCCTCTGTGATGGCCACTTCCTCCGTCTGTGCAGTCATCTGGCCCCAGTCGTCTTGGCTTTACACAAGAACAAAACACGTAAAGAGAGAGAGAAGACATGTTTTGTCTGTTAGAACGAATGCAGAACACACAGAACATGAAACTCAGATGCTCACTTTCTTTGTACTTTGTGGGTGATGAGGAAACCCAACTTCTACAACAGCTTTCAAAACGTGTAACTACAGGACAGTAAAGTGAACCTTCTGGAGACGGTTTCCACATGTCGACCGTTCATCACAATTTAAATGATTTGGCCTTTTGTCTCTAAAAATGTAAATAATTGTTTTTCATTGACCATAATTTTCCATGACAATAAAAATCAATTAAAACCAGCCAACCACAGCTTTACTGGATGTTTAATGGGATGTTTGAGGAAAACAGTAACAGAACATGATTGGGGGGGTTCTTTTCCTATTTTCTTATTATAAAAATGCTCATGAACATGGTTTGTGACTTACTAAAGCACTGAAAGAGATTTACGGTGACATTCTGGTCTGTATTTATTTATACAATTATTTTATATTATATTATATTTTACAAAGACAAGTGGAAGACAAGAGAACATCTTGAAAGAACAACAACCACTTACTTATCGAAAGATAGAAGCTTTTCATCCCGAGAACTGTCTTCAGCCTGAAAGAGAAAGAAACACTCACTGTTACCAAGTCAAGTCAGCAAAACACATTATTGACTTATGAACTGGACGTTTCTATCAATAACAATGCGGTCAAACTCCCAAAAAAGAGATTTAACAAAGGCAGATTACTTTAGGATGGGGATGCACGATATATCGGTGACCACATTGGTATCGGCTGATATCAGTGTTTTCTCTCATATATCGGTATCGGTCCGATGAACACATTTAGCTGATGATTGTCTAACATCAGCACCTTCGTCTCTACGTTTGATATCGCTGCTATTTCACAGATGTTTTTACGTAAATGGTCCTGGACTGAAATATGTTTAAATATGTTTTACTTTTGTAATAAAGAGGACTATGTGGTCTAATTAGGCTTCTTTTGAATAGTTTTCTCATGGTGCTGACTGATACTCATTTTTCAGTGTGAACAAAAATTGAATATCGACATCGGTGATATCAGTTATCGGCGATATCAAGAATCTTAATATCGGATATCCATATCGGCCAGAAATTTGAAAATCGTGCATCACTACTTTAGGATGATTTTTATTCCCTATAACTGATAACTGCTGAGTGCTCTTGGTCTTTATTTTCAGTATCAAAGGCAGATATGTAAAAAAAAAAAACACCACCACATCCTACAGTGAGATGATTTAAAGACAAATGATGGAGCTTCATCCATCTTCACCTTGAATTGGAGTATGGAGCTACGCAGGCTCTTGCGAGTTTTAAATATTGTCTCATTTGTTATAGTGTCGAGGTTTTTAGCCGATTGAAAGTAATTTTTTGCTAATCATGTGTTGCTTCTAGTAGAGGAGCTGTTGTATCTGCCGTCCTTACCGATAGGCGGGACCCAGCTCTCGCTCTGGCTACCGACTCCTTCTCCTTCTCCGCTGCACGCCGCTGGACCGCTTGGAAGTTGTTGAGAGCTGCTGAGAAGTCATTCATCAGCCGTTCCCTCTGTATCTTCTGCTGCCTCTGGACACCACAGAGCAGAGACAAACACATGAGAAGAGTTACCAAAAAAAAAAAAAAAAAACCAAACCTTTTTTTTTTACCAGGTTGATTGACAATGTTGGAACTACGTGAACATCACTTTAAAATCTTTTACTGACCCTAACCCTAATAATAGTGGCATATTAACACATGTAGACTTACCTGCTCTGAGGATGATGAAGGCAAAGAGACGGATCCCAACTCTTTCAGGTGCTTGTTGGTTTCTTTTGCCAGCTGATTAGTGTAGTGTTGTATCTGCTGCCTGTGGACACACCAACAGTTTTGAATCACAAGACAGCAGATCCATCTGATGAGTGAGCTGTTGTACAGGGCTCTAGACCACACAATAAAGTTTACTTTTCTAGAGCATATGACAGTACAGTGTTCTAGTAAAAGTGCAAATTAAGTAACCACCTAAACTGTTCTGACTTTCCTTATGCTCTGAAGACACCATCCCTGATGTCAGAAACTCAATAACTGTATGATCGTGCATTTCATTTTGGACAGTTTAAGAGAGATATGACCGTGTTGGCCATCTGCAACTACCCACGACAGATTAAAACTACTAGCCAAAAGAAACAGCGTGTGTCTGTGTGTTAAGCAGAGGTTTACTAGTGATGAGACTGGTACGTACAAACGATCCTGGAGCTCACTGGTGTCCTGTCTGGTCCCCAGCTGGTTAACCATGGTCTTGATCTGGGCAGCTGGCATGAGAACACAGCATATATGCATATATACAGTATATGCATATACATATACCACAACACAGCACGATAAAGTAACAGCCTTCATCCAGGCCGGTACCCGGTCATATATGAATATGGCACCAAGCATTTCTGTAAGCCTCGATGACAAACGTTTGTTCAAATAACTTTGATCAAATATCTAAATATATTCAGCATGAAAAAGGTCTCTGTTTTAGGGTTACTATATTTGCATACAAAAAGGTTTTCAGCAGTTCAGCTGGTGAAATTTTCCAACCATTGAGTTAATCCACAACCTCACGTGTGGATTTAAAGCACTAAGATCAGATAACATGACCTATAAACAGACAATCCTTTGACCGGTGACTGTAAAAGCTTTAATCAACAGCTTATGCATCATCAACAGTGTGGGAACTTTTTAATTACATCCTGTACACAGTTCTACATGCAGGGACAACAGATACATCTGAGGAGCTTCAAGACATCTAATAGGAGCAATAAGAAGACAAACAAGGTTCTGGAACAAATCTGTTGTCAGTTTTTGGACTTTTTCTTTAGTTTTTGGTGAAATTTTGGATCATTTGAACATATATTGATATTAAACCATGTGAGAACTTTAAAGGGAAAAAGTACTGTTTGTTGGAGCTGCCAACAACTCAGTGACATCTAAAATACGACTCCAACGACCCACTGCTTTTTGGAAGATGTCAGAATCCAAAAGGATGGAAACTACTGGTTTATTTTTCCACAATTTGTTTGATTTCAGAAGTATGTGACATCATCTGTTGTGTAAAATCTTCAGAGGTCTGCAGAGGGGTTCACTCGTGCAAAGTCATGGGAAAAGGACATAATTACACCGTGCAAACCCTTGTGCGCTCGCAGACACAGAAAACATCATAGGCGTTATAGCTTCCACATCAGTGTGTGTGCGAGGGTTCATGTACATTTAATCAACTTCCAAAGACAGCGGGCAGCCAGATATTTGTGTCTGCATGGTGCTACAGGGGCAGACATGTAGATATGATCAGCTAAATGTGAACGGAGTCCTCCCAGCGGACTGGAAAGTTGTTTTTAGCCAACACTACACATCAGCAGTGTGTGCTTCTGCCAAGGAGTAAAACCAAGGCTTAACACAGCAGCATCTTCAGGACTTACTGCGTTAATGAGTAACCGTACTTGGTTGGGGCGATGGTCTTCCACACAGTAAATAAGCGTGCACTTACTGTTCTGTGTAATCTTCTGGATGTTGGAGCTGCATGTTTGTATGAGAGAGCTGAAGTCCTGCAGCCCAGAGAGGCTCTCTGCTTTGCCGTACGACATGTTTGCCAGAGTCTGATGGTGACCTGTGGCTGCACACAGACGAAGCAAAGAAACTGAGAATGTAGTACCACTAGGATCCAGACGTGTTTCTTAACAACAGCTACGTTTACTGTAGGATTTAAAAAGGTAAGACAGGGCTGCTGACAGTGTGGGCCCGTGATCCACCCTCTGTACAATAAGCTGGTGACACTGACATCATAATGCAGGAAACAGTGGGTCTAAATTGATAACGTTTTATTGTTTTGTTGACGGAAACGTATCTGACTTGGTCCGAGTTAGCTTGCTCATGTCAAAACATGCACGCCAAGGAATGTGTGGGTCATGTGACGTGTGTGAAACCACAAGATAAACGTATCTAACATGATTTACGCCTCTACACAAATCTGTGTCTTCACATGAAGCCAGTTAGCTCAGTTAGCTTATCTTCAGAACGTTACGACGAGCTCACCGCTCAGCTTTTAGCTTCCGAGCTAACTGACGCTAACTTGTCGGCTTTCGATGGTTCATAGTAAACCAGCCGTCTAGAAACAGTCAACCTCGTTTATCACCAGTAAAGAGTGAAGCGTTTAGTGTCAAAACCATTTAGTGTAAAAGTCATACTTGCCTGTGACTGTTTACAATCAACACACAGGCGTAGGTAGGTGATGTTTTTCGTCCCGCAGTCAGAATAATACTGTACTTCCTGATCGTGACGTAATGACGTAACGCCACGCACAGAGTTTTTTAAAAAAAACCTTTATCAATGCGATGATGATAATAATAGTAATAACGTTACCAAATGTAAACCGTTGTGTGACAACAGTTTGTAAATGAGAAATTCCTTTAATCTGCAGGTACATTCATCTTTGTCAACGGAAATGAGTCAGACTTGCACAGATTGGATCACCGGCGTCAGCAGCGAGTCTAGGTTTTACTTTTAGGGGGGCCAATAGGGGGCCAATGCTATATTATGGGGGGCATCCAGTGACTGTTCGTAGATGTAGCCTACAGCAACTTCTCCAGAAGTGTTCTTTACTTGTACTCACATTGTATGACTAAATATAGACCGAACCTGATTAAATAGATCTAACAAAATAAACATGATCTGGAAAAGGTTTCTGGTCAGAGCGTACCTGTACAACATGGAATGTACAATAACTGCTTCTTTCAACAGCAGCTCATGACCCTCAGACTGATTCACAGTGAAGACTCGTGTTAATAACAGCCTGAAATAAAAATAAATAATAATAAAAAAATAAGATAAATATATACAAGAATTTACACATCTGAGCATTAACTATATACCTAATATATATATACAGTGGTGCAAAATAGCAGTGCAAATAACAAGTTTGGCTGAGAATGGCTCAGGTTAGCATCCAAAAGTGATGATAAACTCTACAGGGGAGTGTTAAAGTCATCTGACTAACCGGTTGTTTTCTGTCCACAGCTGGACGACGTCACATGTAAAGCAGTGACCGCTTTCACTGTCGCTGAAGTTACTGTAAGTTAACATCAGACTGGAGCCTCTGGTGGTACAACATGATCTGACATCGTGTTCAAGAGTTGTTCTGTAAATCTCTGGTTACTGACTTAGTGAATGTTAACAGTGAAGTCTGTAACTAAAGTTCATGAAGGTCACAGCAGAGCTATCATAATCACGCTACGATATACTATATACAGCTCCCTCTCCACCAGACACAAAACCATCCATCCATCTGTAGTCATTTAACTGTATCGACAGGTTGTTCGGAAATGATCAGCAGATAGAAATTAAACCAAGTTAACATTCCTCCACAGAACCCTATTACTTGTGTTCTCTCAGCTCAGTAAATGAAGCTCAGGCCAGTTGTGTAAGTTTGTATAACTGTTCATTTTTATTTTTTTTTTCAGATGAAGTTACGTTACTGAGGGCTGCTCACCGTCTCATGAGCATCACATGGAACCACAGAGCTGAGTCATGGTCACGTTCTGCTGCTGTTTGATGCAGAACAGTCCAGTTGTGTTTCTCTGAGGGAACAGTCTAATGTCAGACTACTGTGTGAAGCTCATGTAGTCAGAGTGCTGCTTCTTTTACCTTTTCTCTACAACTTATGACACATTAGAATAGAATAAAAAAGAATAAACTTTATTGTCCAATTGGGTCAGTAAAATTTAAAAAGCAAAGTAAAAATCTCATCCAGTAAAACAAACTTTTCCATAAGACAAAATAAGTAAATATTATTCCAGGACAAAAACATCACACATTCATAACCACGGTGTGTACACTCTTATGTTTAATGTTGACGACAGTAAGTGCAGCTGAAATAAAAGAACCCTTGTAGGTTTTGGTCCTACTGGGCCTTTTCCTTAAAATTTCCTTAAAATTTCCTTAAATTTCCTTAAACAAACAGACATCTAGTGGGCTCTTCTGAAAAGACCAAACAAATGATCAGGAGCTCACTGACGGACTGAGTGGGGGAATCAGGGGACAGGGTCCAGGGATCCAAGAGGAAGGAGGGAGAGATGCTGCCACTAGGTGGAGCCAGAGGTGGAGGCCATGACACCATAACAAAACCATTGCTCTCCTTAGAAGGGTCAGAAATAAAGTGATGCCAACACCTAAAAACTGCACTTTCTGGCCCCAGCCAACAACAGACAGACGCAAACAAAGAATTAAACTGGTCTGGTGTCAAATCCAGACTTTGACTCGTCCAGTCCATCAGTTCCAGGACTCCAGGTTTCTTTTTCTTGGTTAAATAGTCTCTGGACACCTTTGAAGTATTCTTAGGCTCATTGTGTTGTTGGTATATGAGCCCACGACCAATCAGATTCTAACCCTAAAAGTCTGCACAGTTTTTTCGCACTATAATGAGGGGTACCGTAGATGATGAGAATTGTAATAATAATAAAAAGTGCAGGCGAACACTCAACTGATTAAAAAGACGACATCACAGAGGGGAGATAAGATAAAAGCTGAAGATAAAAGTAGATGAAGAAAGAGAAAAGAGAGATGGACAGCAGACAGTACCAATATAAAGGGAAAAGAAAATCTAAACGAGGAATAAAAGAAAACATCACTCAAAAGCGAGTCTATAAAAGTGAGTTTAAAGAAGTGATTTAAAAGAAGATACTGTCCTGCCAAAACGTCTGAGAGGCTGACAATCCCTGCTGTGTCACACCCCGTCGTATTGACAGATAGTCTTCAATATAAGTTATCAGTCAAGCCCTGATGATGGACATCCTCCTCACTGACGTAACATTTTGACCAGATCACACGGAGGATATACTGTCCTGTTTCTGTCATTCAGCTGTGGAGCAAACTGGCTCTAGATTCCAGCAGTGGTCTCGATCCACACTGGTATGAGGGCAAGAGTGAAGTGTCCTCAATGAATTTAGTCAGATTTAATTAGTCACTGAAGTATTCTCCCACTGTCATCAACAGTGTAATGTTTACTTCATGGGGCTGCAGGTGGATCAGTGGTTAGCACCGTCGCCTCGCAGCTAGAAGGCCACCGGTTGGCGTCCTGGTGAGGACACCTGGGATCTTTCTGCGTGGAGTCTCCATGTTCTCCCCGTGCAGCGTGGGTTCTCTTCGGGTTCTCCGGCTTCCTCCCACAGTCCACAAACATGCTGAGGTTAATTGGTGATTCTAAATTGTCCGTAGGTGTGAATGTGAGTGTGCTTGGTTGTCTGTCTCTAAGTGTAGCCCTGTGATAGACTGGTGACCTGTACAGGTGAACCTGCCTTCACCCTGAGTCAGCTGGGATAGACTCCAGCCCCCCACCACCCTAGTGAGGATTAAGGTGTAGAGATGATGGATGGATGTTTACTTGATTTTGTTTTACAAAAAATAACAAACACGTATGCTTCAACAGCAAGTCTCAGCAGTGTTACAGCCGTGTCCACCTATTGTAGAAGTGAGCTCTGTCAAACCTCACAGGTAACATGGAGAAAAAACAACAGAAGATGTGTCCGTGTTCAAAACCTTCCTGTTGCCACTGTGACCCTCAAACGGGTTTCTTTATAGAACAGCCTTTCATGAGACTCCAGACTGTTTTCTAGTCCGAAAACTGACCTGAACAGCTATAGTGTCACAGCTCCAGCCTGACTAGGAGCAGAGTGTCCAGCTCAGGTCACAGCTGGCCCATCAGCCGGTGGGGTGGGGCCGAGCGGCCGGCCAGAAGCCCTCTGCTTAAATTAATATCAATCATGCCTCCCAGGCTGAGCTTCCTCCCTCTGACGCTCCTGGCCTGGGATTGGTTCACAGGAGACCAACCTGCCAAAACCTCTGTATCAGTGTCCATTCACGGCCAACAATGAAGAAGAATAACTAATGAGCTCCGTCCAGGCTCAGTTGTCTTTCTGGCACCATTATCAGAGTAGCTTTGGACGTGACCAGCTCCCTCATGTGGGTCAAACACTGGACAACGGAGCAATGATTTGATGAAAACAGAACAAACTGAAGCTTTATCACCAAAGAAGATCTGCACCAGGAGGAAATACCATCAGCTGTCTCTCCATTTGGATTACTTGTTTTTGTGTTATTTTTGGGTTCTGAGGGGCGAGAAGTTTTCATGTCAAGAGGTTGGAGGGGAGAACACCAGAATGGGACCAGTGATCTTCTTCACCTGTCTGGCAGCTTTCTACTGTTCAAGTAAGTCCTGTTTGGGATCCGTGTAGCAGCAGCATCGGTGTACCGTCGCTGTGTTTTCAGTTATAACTAGATTGTTGTGAAATTTTGCTAAACTGAAGAAAAGAGGCTTCTTCACTGTCTCTATTACCAACTAAGGCTGAGTGGTGGATTCACCTACGTCCAGATGATATGATGATGATGCTACAAGTTAATTTTCATCAATTTGCAGAGTATGAAAAACTTCTAAATGTCTGGATGTAACCTGGAGCTTAACCACCTTCACAGAGCTGTGCTTCTGATGGACTTAATGTACAGTTTGACAAGCATTTTTATTACATATTCTACTTTCCAAGCTTTCCTGGAAAGCAGCCAAGCTTCAGAAACCCCAAGTAGACCCTGTTACAAGAGTATATGGTCAAACTGAAGCTACTGAAGGTGTCAAATAACCTCTTGAGCCTTGAGAATATGATACAAATCCAGTGGCCGTTGTGTCATTTTCCTCACAGTACCACTAAAACACTCTGAATGAGGGTTTAATATTAGGTCCATAAAAAGTAATATGTGTTCTTGTGTTTACTGACATGAAAAAGATGATTTTAATCAAAATTAAACCTCTATTTTTAGGGCTAAATCATAACCTTTAGAACAATTTACAAAGTTGTAGAATGTCAGAAAAGTGTTTTGTGAAACCCACAGCAGGTTTGCATGAGAACGGGTCGGAGGAGGTTCTGTCTTTATCTCCAACCACAGAAGGAGGTCAGAGTCGATGACCTCTGAGGTTTTTGGGGGTTTTTTTTGGAGGTGCTATAGATCAGCGGAGCCGTCTGTAGAGGGGGGTAGCATGGACACAATAGCCCCCCTTAAAGTGACCTGACCCTCACACCCTCATCTCCATAACACTGCCGTCAGCCTGCACTAATATTGAGAACGGTATTAAAGATGTGTCTATATGGTAATCCCCACTACAGCTGCCCATGACCGTGTCCTCAGGAACCCCTCCCTGTCAGGGGTCCTCAGACCAGCAGGAACACCCCCCTGGGCTTCATCCCAGCAGGGACACAAAGGGTCCATCGTGGCCAGGGCTTTCT